GAGGCAATGCAGGCAGGGAAGCATCTGTCCAGCCGTGGAAGAGTTAACGCTCCCCACAGTTCCTTGCTGGGGTTTCCTTCCAGCTGCTTCGGATCAGGAAGGTTTGTACGGCGGGGAAATTCCTGCGCGCAGCTGCGGCCTGTCCAGGCCACATTCCCCAGCCCCGGCATCTCGCGGGACGCGCCTCCCTCCCGCCGTCTGCCGGGAAATGCCTCCGGCCCCCCTCTGCCGAAAAACACAACACAAAGCACCTTTCCTTCGGGGGCCGCTTACCTCCGTTGCCGTAAACGGCAGTGCCGTAAACGGATGGGACAGGGGAGACAAACTCCCGTGTCGCAGCAAGGTTTAAGCCAGGGAGGGGGAAACCCCCCCCAAAAAAGCTCCATATTTGCCTCCCCCCAGCCCTCGTTACAATATGGGGCTGGTTTCTCGCACTCCGGCAATTCAGGGTTGGTGCTGGTGCCCCGGGGACAGGGAAGGCACCCCCCAGCACGGGGACCACCCCGGGGCTGAGCCCCGCGGGCGATTGCGCCTTGTGCTGTGCTGCGCCGGGCATCGCCGTGTCCCAAAAAGTCTGGTTTTGGGGTAGGGAACTGTGGCATCGGTGCAGGTGGGTGGGCAATGGTGGGGAGGGCAGGTGGGGGCTCGTGGCTCCCTGGCAAGACAGCGCTGAGCAGGGGTTGGGATTTGCACCATTTGGGGCAGGGATTTGGGGCTCGGGATTTGGGGGTTTGCATCATTTGGGACGGAGGTTTGGGGTTTTGCACCATTTGGGGTGGAGATTTGGGATTTTGGATTTGGGGCTTTGCATCATTTGGGGCTTTGCACCGTTTACGGGGTCCGTAGGGGCTTATAGAGCTGCAAACAGCCCTGTGTGCCCCCAAAACCCCTTTGCCACCAGCCCACGGTGTCCTCCATGGGTTGGGGTGTCCCCAGCCAAGCGTGCAGCCGGGGCTGGGGGGATGTTTTGGGGCCAGGGGGTGTTTTGGGGCTGGCCGGAGGGCATCAGCCCGGCTCTCCTGCAGTACCTGCAGATGAAGTGGCCGCTGCTGGACGTTCCCGCCGGCGCCACGCTGAAGGACAGCCGCTCACCCTCGCCCGCGCACTTGGGAAGA